GCTGGGGTAGACAGCTGATTTGCCTTTTGGGAAAAGAGGTCTTTACTCTTGTGAAGATTCCCAGGTACTCATGATTGCTTTTAAGTAAGCTATTGAAAAAATTCTTAAGTATGCCTTTAATTTACATCTGGGAAACATAATTTGTGTAGACGCACATTCAAGTTTTTAATTGGTTAAGAAAAAATCATTACGTATGGAAAAAAGTCATTTTTCTTTTTTAAAAAGTGAGGGGAGCCTGGGTGGCTCAGTCGTTAAGCGTCTGCCTTCAGCTCAGGTCATGATCCCAGGGTCCAGGGATCGAGCCCCACATCGGGCTCCCTGCTCCGCGGGAAGCCTGCTTCTCCCTCTCCCACTCCCCCTGCTTATGTTCCCTCTCTCGCTGTGTCTCTCTCTGTCAAATAAATAAAAATCTTAAAAAATAATAAAAAGTGCTTTATTGGGATATGGTTCACGTACCATACGGTGCACCCATTTAAAGTGTGTGTATCTGATGGTTGTTAGTATATTCACAGGTATAGGCAGCTGTCATCTCGCAATCAGTTTTAGAACATTTTTCTCATCTCAGAAGGAAACCCTGGCCCCCAGCCCTGTTCCGCCCAGCCTCAGGCACTCACTGCTCTGCTTTCTGTCTGCAGATTTCCTTGTTTTGGACATTTCACATGAATGGAGTCATAGAATATGTGACCGGTTTCTCTCACTGAGCATACTGTTGTAGCATGTGTCAGTACTTCATTCCTTTTTTTAAATCATTGTGGTGAAATGTACACAGCATGAAATTTACTATTTTTAACCATTTTGAAGTGTACAGTCCAGTGGATTAAGGATGTTCACACTCTTTTGCAACCATCATCACCATCCATCTCAGGAACGCTTCCCTCTTCGTGGTCTGAAACTCCGTCCCCATGAAACACCAATGCCTCTTTCCCCCCAGTAAGCACTGTCCTTTGACATTCATTAGCTCAATCAGAATCTGTTTTTAGTCGTTTTGTATGTGTTTACTGGAATGTGGTATATCTTTTGGATGCACAGCCCTGCCAACATCTTGATTTTAGCCACAGAAGACCTACTTCCTGGCATCTGAACTCGCGAACTGTAAGATAAATTCATGTTTTCTTAAGCCATGAAATTTGTGGTCATATGTCACAGGAGCCCCAGGAAACCCATGACATCAGTTTTACGCACATTTGTACAGACTCGTCCTGATGTAAGGCTCTGGTGGTTGTGTGGCTCCCACAGCAGCTACTACGTGCTTAGCACGGCCCGGTGCTCCTGCTCAGTCTCTTCTCCTCATCTGTAAACGAGAGGCAGCATCAGCATCCACCCTGCAGGAGTGGGGTGGGGGTACTGAGCTAACCTATTGAACACTGCAGCCTAGGGAGCTCTTAAAATGACTAAAGAGGGGCGCCTGAGTGGCTTGGTTGGTTAAGTCTGATCTTGATTTCGGCCCAGTCGAATGAGTCTGATCCTTGATTTCGGCTGAGGTCACAATGTCAGGATCGTGGGATGGAGCCCGATGCCCACACAGGGTGTGGAGCCTGCTTGGAATTCTCTCTCCCTCTCCTTTTCTCAAAAAAAAAAAAAAAAAAGAAAGATTCCCTTTCCCTCTGCCCCTCCCCCTCACTCAAGAAAAATAAAATGACTAAAGAAAGTGCAACTCTTTTACAGAGGTGTGAATTTGAGGCTCAGAGAGGTTTAGTGATATGCCCAAGATCACACAGCTAGTAAGTGGCCATACTGGGATTCGAATCCCTGGCTCTGAAGCCAGTGATCTTTCTTGTAGCATGATGCCTTCCCTCAGGACTATCTCTTAGGGAGCTTATGGTCTAATTAATCAGGGAGCCAAACCTAACCCTCCAGACCTAGTAAGACAAATATAACAGGAGGGAGTTTGGAGAAGAGAGACTCAGTGGGACAGCAGTGCTGCTGGTTATTGTCATTTTCAGAAAAGCTTTACTGAGCACCCACCATTTGGGGTCACTAGGCCTTGAGAATTGTAGTGAGACATTACCCTTGCCTTCAAGGAGCTAGTAGGGAAGGAGGCAAAAGCTTCTTGAGAAGGTTGGACTTGGAACTTGGTCTTAAATTGTAGGTAGTTTTTAGGTAGCAGCGAAGGGTAAGGAGGAGTTTGCAGATTGGGAGAGCATGAGTAAGTGGATTGTGATAAGCTGTATCTGTTAGTACTAGATCTAGCTGCTTATAACAGAAGCCCTAGAGTAACAGTGGCTTAAACAAAAATTTATGTCCCTCTTGTGTTAGAGGTCTGGAAGTAGACAGGCTGGGCAGGTATGGCAGCTCCATGGGCTCGATGGAGACGTGGGCTCCTTTCAGCCAACTGCTCTGCTGTTCCTAGGCTGTGGCTCTGATTCTCATGATCTAAGAAGGTGCTAAAGCTCTGGCCATATGTGCCGGTCAAGACACTAGCAAGAAAGTGGAAACAACACTAGACATTTCAACATAGAGAATTTAATATAGGGAATTGGGTGAACAGATGTTAGAAAGAAATGGGACCCAGTGGCCCACAGAACTGCAGGAAGCAGCCCCTTCCCTGGGCTGGGGGACCAAGGGAAGAGGTGGGGATTATCAGACCCTGGAGCTGGGCCCCGCTGCTTGTGGAGAGGGCACTGCTTGGCTGTTGCTGGCATCTGAGACCTTGAGAAGCACCCCCTGCAGCTGGGGCCCAGCCCTCTGAGCTGGTATCCTGGAGAAGGTGCCGTGAGGCTGGTTCTGGGGTTGGTGAAAGAAGTGGGGGTTCCCCTGTTGCTACTCCAGCACTCAGACACAACACAACAGGCGTGTCTCCTTCCTCCTGCCTTCCAGCCTCCCTCCAGGGCCCCCACTGGCAGACCGTAACTGGGAGCAGCCAGCAAAGGAGATTTGTAATGGGGGGAACCCCCGGCCCAACGTCACAATCGAGAACTGAAGTGTGGACTTGTTGCTCAGAGACCAGAGCTTTGCGATTGACACACTGTCCTCTCCTTGTTTCAGACAACAGGGTAGAGGACAGGAAGAAAGGGACAAAGCCCATGAGGATGTCTTAAGTTGACTTCCAGAAGTCAACTTTTACTTCCTTTTACATTCTGTTTGTCAGCACCTGGTCACATGGGCACACCTACCCGTAAAGGCAGCTGGTAAATAGTCCCCATGCTAGGCGCGTTGCTGCCTGGATAAAACCTGGAAAGGGAGGAGAATGTCTGCCACAGAAGCAGAATTTTCAGAATTGTTACCTCCTGTTAATACACCAACATTAACAAACTTCCAGATAAAAATTTCTCCCTGTTCTCTTTTCTCCCCACACAATCTCTTGGTCTGTATTTTGTAGCTCTTGGCAGTGCTTGTCAGTGTGTGCTCATAATCCCTGTGCAATCACACCATCCCTGTACCTGATAGTGTGAATTAGGTGTGTATTTTAGTCTCACTTTGGTATTTTAGTCTCACAGGTGGCTCCTGTGACCGGGGGGTGTCCTTCTCAGCTTTATATCCAGAGACTGGACTTTATATCCAGAAACTTGACTGGACTGGACTGGTTATGAATGGGGCAGGGAAAAGCTGGTGGCTTCTGTGACCAGGGGGGTGTCCTTCTCAGCTTTATATCCAGAGACTGGACTTTATATCCAGAGACTTGACTAGACCGGACTGGTTATGGATGGGGCAGGGAAAAGCTGGTGGCTTCTGTGACCGGGGGGTGTCCTTCTCAGCTTTATATCCAGAGACTGGACTTTATATCCAGACACTTGACTAGACTGGACTGGTTATGGGTGGGGCAGGGAAAAGCTGGTGGCTTCTGTGACCAGGGGGGTGTCCTTCTCAGCTTTATATCCAGAGACTGGACTTTATATCCAGAAACTTGACTAGACTGGACTGGTTATGGATGGGGCAGGGAAAAGCTGGTGGCTCCTGTGACCGGGGGGTGTCCTTCTAGAAAGCTGTGGTTCGATCTCCTGGTCACTTTCTCTCCCAGAGTTGCATGCCTACTGCCCTATGATGCTGAAGCCTCTGACAGTCAGGGGTCGACACGGTTTGCTGGAGCGTGTAGCCTCCGACACTTGACTGTCCTGTGATTTGTCTTCTTTGTCTTCATTAGAGAGGCTATTTCTTGAGGGCAAGGGCAGAGCATAGTTCAATTTTGTATTATCCTAGCTTCCAGCATAGTGCTTGGCTTAGGTAATAGTTCCTGAAGATTCACTGGCTAGATTAGGATTTAGGGACTCTGAAGTCTGCTGCAGGTGAGGTGCTTCATGTCTGGAGCTCCTGACTGTACAGTATCTCGTATTCCTTCATTCAGCTCCGATTCCTCCATTAACTACCCTTCCTCTCTACCTAATCGTGTCCAACCCAGGCAGGTGATTTGTCCCGAAGGCAGTTATTCTCCTGTTCAAATGACCCCTGTAACTTGTTTCTTGTCTCTCCTCGTCAGAGGGGAAGGTTCAGGGTACTGAGATCTCCAGTCATTTCCTCTGAGCGCTCCAAGAACCAGTCAGTGTTGCAAGTTTTTTGAAAAGGCTGTTAGTCAAAATTGACTGAGATGTTTTTAATAACATGGAGCTATATATACTTCAGGTGGAAGGTCCTCGGGGCAGTGGGTTAAGTATTGCTCCAAGATTTTAACCTGGTTGCTATGGGAACGTGGTGGAGTTTTTGGATCCTAGAAGAACATGAGCCTGAAAGAACGCATCTGGGACGCCCCCACCCCCAGGGTCCTCGCAGGGTTCTCGTTCTCTGGAGGCACACACCCTGTGGAGGTGCACACATGCAATTTAGAACTCACCTCCAGCGTTAAGCTAAGAAGAACAGATAGGGAATTTGCCTGTTTTTAACGTGTCTGGAATTGATCCAAACATCACGGCGCTCATCGTGTATATCACAGGTATCCTGAGAGTCAATCGAGACTTCGATGGGAGTAGTTCCTGTGGGACTCTGACGTCTCATCCGTAGTTGTCCAAGAAGGGTGGTTTAGCTGACCTTCAAAATACTGACGCTTACTGTCCTTTGACTTCCCACAGAGGTGGCCTCAGTAACATGCTGTTCCAGTGCTCGTTTCCTGACACCGTGGCCACCATTGGTGACGAGCCTCGGAAAGTGCTCCTGCGGCTCTACGGGGCGATTTTAAAGATGGTGAGTTCTTAGGCTGCGTGGGGACGGGAGGGCCCTGTGAACAGTTTTCATCCTCTCTCCTAAATTACCTGGGAAGATTTTAAATACTTTAGTGGTGGTTATTAAAGCTGTTTTTACATACTGCTTTTATCTTAATTGGGCTGCACAGCTGGGTTTTTTGCTTATATCCTGTTATGTTCTGAATTCCTGTTTTTGCTTATAATTTATTAGTAAGACAGTACAAATATTCTCAGCTTTATATCCAGAGAAAAGTATGATGTTGGTTAAATCTTTAGTAGTGGTTATGATGCTTGGATTTTCCACACATTGAAATTTTTAGCTCAGACCTAGGTTGTAAAATTCTAATGTGGAAAAGGTATTGTTTTTAATAACATGATCATAAAGGTTTTACAGGGCACAGGGGAGCCCCGTGGACAAAGTATAATCTCAGTTGAGCTGAATTTATTAACTTACCTCCCTTTGAGATTTCTTTAAAATGTTGAATTTGTTAGACTCATAATCTTTTTAAATTTTTATATATTAGTTGAATCTAATTTTCAGTTAAAGTGCCTTATTTATTGAATTGTCTTCATCAATTGTAGGAGATCCCAAATGTCTGGATTTTTTTTTTTCTGTTTATACCATGAATTTACCACTTTACTGACCACACATACAAATGCTTGTTTGATATCTTTCTATGGTAGAATTTTAATACCCATTTAAATCTTCTTCAGAAGGGCCCATTTTGATCTTCATGAAATGGAGAATAGTTTTCTGACTTAATGTTTTAAGAGACTAGTCTCAGCTCAATCTGAAGGGCAGATTATGCCCATGTCTGCGATAATTCGATTTTAATGTTCAGAAATATCAAAGCTAAAGCTGGCACTCTGTCGTAATGTGACTGAGCCTTTTTGTTGGATAGTTTTCCTGGGCCTTGCCAGGCTGTGAAGTGCTCAGGATCTGAGTGTTGGAAGCCATGTGCCCTCTGCCCAGGAAACCTGAGGCCACTTTGTGATGAGGAACATACAGCTGACCCTGACTTTGACCCCTTAGCGATGGTACACAAGCGACAGGGTTCTTGTGTTGGCCATGCAGTTGGGTTTTTCATTTAATCAAGTTGCACTTTCAAAGCACAGTTTTTGAAAAACCCAGTTAGTGTCCTTTTGGTACTTTCAATGAGATCAGTCTTGAGCCATTTTATCTTTGAGGACTTTTACATCCTCTAACCATTAGTCTCATTTCTGCTCATTTGTGTGCTTTCATGTGGGCAACACTTTTAGAATACTTTAATAACCAGCGGCTAGAATTGCACGTGATACAGACTATTTAAATCTGATTTATGAGGCTTTCGTTTGTATTGATAACTTTAACTAGGGGCATTTTAAATGTGCACTATGCGCCCCTCCAGGGGCCAGGCTAAACTAGGCGCCAGATTCTGCTCTGGATCTGTGCTGTTTGGGGTGCTGGTCACCAGCCCTAGGGGGCTATCAGACGTTTGAAATGTGGCGAGTGTGACCAAGGGTGGGGATTTTAAATTTTAATTACTTTTAATTAACTTACATTGAAATGGTTGCATGTCCTGGTGGCTGCCACATTGGACAGCACAGCTCTAGAATGTGCTGTGTTACCGGAGGGGTAACTTAACGAAGCCGTCGAAAGCATGGCCTGGCCCTGAGCAGTTAACTCTCCCCCTAATAAAGGTTCACTATCGGTAGTTAGTATTTTGTCCTTTTCGAAATTTTAGTGGTCCAGAATTACTGCCTTATAGTACTTACACGTAATAAAAATGCCTGGAAATAGGATTTGTTTTAGCATTTCTAGGTCCCTGTTTATTTTTAGGTAACTCAAAAATAAACAGAATAATTAAAGGCACTTAAAGTGGAATTAATTCTTGCCAAACTAATAGAATGGAGTATGTTTTTACATCTAGGTCTAATTCACAGGGGGGCACTCTACATTTAGCTTCTTAATCATGTTTTTATTTAGGCAAATGTCAGTTGCCATTCCCGAATCTGCCTCCGCCGAGCAGGGCAGAAACTCTGCTGGGAGACAAGCAGCTTACTAACTGGACAGTCCGCGGGTTCTCCAGGCTCACGATTGACTTACTGGACAGCGGTCTCATTTTTGCTGGAAAAAAGCTGTTCCTTCGCTTTAGAGGAGGGAATCTGTTTTAGTATTTATCCTAAAATATGGGTTGAGTCCTCAGTTCAAGGACACTTTTTTTGTGCAGTTCCAACGTAGTAAAAATATGAGACCTACAGTCTCAAATGGAAATGTTTTGGAGAGGTTTTTGGCTGAGGTTTTTGTTCTTCAGGGTCCAGCAGGGGCATTGGTTGCCAGGTGGAATTTTAGGCATGAATGGCCATTGTAAACTGTGGGTCATTTGAATACCTTGACAGCAGGCGGAGGGGAACCAGACTGGGGCGCTCTGAGAAGTGGCCGCGGGAAAGAGAAGGCCGCTGATGCAGACATGGAGTCCGTGAGGCACGAGCCAGGTGGCCCCTGCCAGCAGGTGCCGGCAAACCTGAGCTCTCCCAGCGCTGGGCCAGGGATCTCACCACAGACTTCAGTGCCTTTTCAAATATTCCCAAGTCCGATTTAAAGGATCTATGATTTTTGTTGCTGGGTGTGAGTTCACTCGTATTGCTGACCAGCTCTTTGGAATGAATCTGGCCTACAGCAGAGGGACAGACAGACAGAGTCTGCCATGAGGTTTCTGTTCCCACCACCACAACGAAAAAAAGTTGCCAGAAGTGATAGTGATTTGTTAGGATTTGCATTCATTAAGAGATGTGGCTGAGCAAATCTAGAGCCCGCCCAAATAATAAATCCTGTTACTTTCATAAACGAATGGATTAAAAACAGAAACATAACACCACTCAACTGTTATGCTTTCTCCGTCTGTACCCTCCCTGTGGGGAAAGCACACGTGTCCCTATGCGTGTATGTGTGCTGTCCAGATAAACTGGGATCCCCAAAAGCGGCTGTATAAATGCAGCTGTAGCATGCTTTAGGGTGGGTCAGAATAAGCTCCTTCTTTAAAAAATGTTAACTGACAACTACAGGTAATGATAGACCTGTGTATCTTCTCAGATGGTCTTGCTGTTTTGCTTAATGACACGCTAGAGCAATCGAGTTCTGTCCTTTCCTTCCCTTACCTCTGAGGATCAAATGTTAAGGAGAAATATTTCTTTGATTCACATTTACAATCCTTTACAAGTGACTTGGTTGAAGATAATTAGATGTTGCTCAGCTTTTGGCTGAGGCTGTGGCAGTGAGATACTGCTCCTCCATGCTGTCCACTGCAGGCTACGGGGCAGAAAGCCAGCAGTTTCTGTCCCCAAACTTCGTTCTCTCCCAGCCCATTACAACATACAACACTATAAACATCAAAATACCCGTCTGATCTTAAAGTAGTACCTGCCGATACAGTTCAGGGTCTGTTTCACACGGCCCAGCCTTCATTTTAACGGGGAAGGTTGGTTTCTTTAGTTGCACAGATGACGGATGCAGAATTCCCCTGCAGAATCACCTCTAGGCACAGTAGGACAGTTTCGAGAAGGTGAGAAGTACTAGTTCAGCCTTTGCCACGTGGGAAGAGATGTGATTGCTAAAAGAGAGCTTGAAATGATAACGCAAGCTATAAATGTAACTTGGTTTTTTTCCTTTCTGGTATGGGAAGGAACATGAGCTCCGCAACGTCCAGTAGCAGACTTATCAAAGCAGCAAGTTTGGCTGATTACAAATAACCCGTTTGCTTATTTATCATGAATTGTGGAAGACACAAATGTCAGTACGTATTCATTCAATGTAACCTGTGCCAGTTGGCGCAAGTCTCAGAGGATTGCTTTGTCCCTTCCTCTGTCAGAACAGTGACTCTGTGTTGAGCCAGTTCCTTCTGTGCATGAATGGAGAGATTTGGCCTCACCGTTTTGAACGGTCTCACAGGCATGAATGTCTATAAAACACATCAAAGATCTCTCCAGTGTTGTCTGGGAAAATGTTTTTGTGTGTTCTTTGAGCACTAGAAGGCTAATATTAGTGCTTGTTTGAGTACTAACCATAATAAAATTAAAGGCATCAAAGCACAACGCAGATATGTATCCATGACTGAAAAGAGTGCAATCTGGGACATGGTCTGTTTTAAATCTGGAAAGCAAAATGTCATCTTCCCTGTTTTCTCTTAATCCCAGGTTAAATAGAAATTAAACTACTCTAACATATGGGAACCAGACAATATGGGAACAGCCCATAGGTAGCTCATACTGAACTATCAGCGGCTGAGAAATTGACTGCTTACAAACATTGCAGAGACCATCTGATTCATGCTCTCTCACGAAGAGCCCTGCTTTGTCCCAAGAGCCTGGGGAGAGCACATGTCGCTGGTAACTGAGTACTGTGAACTCTGTGCATTATTTCTCATCATGTTAGGATCATCATGAGTTTAAGTTGTTTTGTTTACTCTGCGTTTTAAAAAAAAATCCCTTTGGACTTGGAGTGTGGTGTAATTTTATCTATTCCTAGGGTAGTCCAACTTCCCTTCCAGAAGTAACACATCGTTCTAGTATTATGTGTTCCCATTTGGTCTAACCTAGTATTTCCTCAGTTAATACTCGAGAGATAGTTGCCAAATCACTATCTGCGGCCCTTCCATACCTGCTTTGGTGCCTTCTTTTCATAACTAAATAAATGGCAGACTACTGTGTCTAATTTTGACATATGCAAAGTGTCTTTGTCTTGCTGGTCTTAAATGTTTGGGATTTATAGCATGAAGCCAGTACCGATTTCGGGTCCCTGGAACGATGGTGTGAGTGCAGCCCACCCGTACGGGGAAGGAATGTCTTTGTGTCGGGTGGCGTGAAGGGCGCTTGGGGGGAATGTACTACTTTAGCTGTCTGTGCATGTGTTCTCTGCCGCAGGCTGTCCATGCGATCGTGCCTGGAGCACTCTGGTTTCCAGGTGACAGACACGATTCACGGTATAGTATGAGTCCTCTGAAGTTGGAGCATTCTCTACAGCTT